AGGCTGCTTTCTGTTTCATTTTATGTCATGTATCTTTTCACCAAATGTGCTAGCGATTTTCACTGTACTGTCAAAGTATTTGCTAATCGCCTGGGAAATGTTACATGGCGGTAAAATGATAAAATTAGAAGGGGATGCAGAGTGTGATCTTGTAAGTATGTTCTCCATCTTCTTTCTTGGCAGTTCATGTACATGAAGCTGGATATTTGTCAATCTGGAAGAAAGCAGAAATACAACAGATTGAACAAACAGAAAAGAAATTATGGAAGCTAAAAAATGATAAAAATGTTGGGGATGCAATATAAGTAAATGCGATACAGCTCCAGAGTGTGTTGTAAGTATGTTTCTGATCATTTATTGTCAATCTGGAAGATCATGTGCAGTGCTAGCTGGGATTTCAACTGGAGAAAGAAAATTCAAAGTAATACAAATACTAGCAACAAACAGTAAGACATCTGCATAAAATAGATAAAACTTAGACCCAGGAGTTGATGTCAAGATGTGCAATAGCACTATGTAGAGCTATGTTCGATCAAATTCTTTCTTAGCAAGCAGTCCAGTTAAATGTCTACATCCAAGCTGGATTCTATCCTCCAACTGTTTGAATATGGATCAGATAGAATATGATAATACCATAGTCTAGCTATCCAAATGAATGACACATATATTTCAATTTCAGATTGCTTTTACGCGTCTGTATAGTATATCTCTGTTAATTTATATTAGATCTGTGATTGCGACTTATAGGTATGATTACCATACTCTCTTGACTGGAAATATCCATTCTTTATACCTCCAGGCTGCCAATTGATTCTCAGCAATTACACAGATAGTCTCAACAACGGCACACTTATTTACATATTTTTCCGGTGCTGATGAAATGAAGCATACCCAATTTCACTAGACTAAATCACCTTGATATGTTCGCTTCGCTAAGCAGTACATATTATAGAGTAAGATATTGAATGACATCCGTCCCTGTTGAGACATTCTCAGCATGAATTAGTTAACCTCTGAAGGGAATGAATGAAGATCCATTATAAATTAGACTTTCATTCAAATTACATTATCAAAAATTTGACTTTCAACAACAATTCCAGAGATGAATGGCAGACTGTCTTGCTACCTGTAAAAGACCTTCGATTCTCAACCATCTAAATTCTTGGCAATGGAAGACTGTCATATGCAGTAGAGGGATGTAAAAGAGACTCGACAAAAGCAGCAGATGTAATTACTGTAAACCCCGATGGTGTCATAAATTCTGGCAGCACAACTGGTCAGGCTACAGTGATTGTCACAGTTGAAGAGAACTTTGGAGTCACACAAAGTATTGCCATCTTAGTGGAGGTAAAGCATTTTACTTTGCACTTCAACTAAAAATTTTGAATGGTTATTTCTAATCCCCAAAATAATTAATTTGTACTTGAAATATAGTAATTGTCATATACCTAAGAAAAACTCTTTAACCTGCTCTATAAACATAGTAAGGTCCTTAATGTATATTAGTTACTCATATAAAGGGGAGCTTGTTATAAATTTCTTTGCAATTGTTGTCATTTTAAAGGTGAAGAAAATTACCTACTTACAAGCTGGTGTAGAGGTGTTTATGAGCACTTTGCCAGGAGAATCCCTCAGTGTAGTCCCAGTTGGTGTAACCATGATGCTGCATCTGACATACCATGACAACCGTGGGCGTATTTTTCATGCCACAAATTCCCAGCCTACCTTTAGACCATCAAGGTAAAGGTGTTTGACTGTATATCTTTGTATATTTATTTATATTTACTTAAGCTTGACTCTATATTGGGGAACATCATATACCCTGTTCCTTGATGATAGTTTATAAAGTCAGAATGATTTTCCAGATATGATCTCATAGATGTGAAACGTGGGGGAACAAATGATACTCTACAGGTGACTGTTCGAGGAACAGGCCAAACAGTTCTTCATATCTGGAATGAGAAAGATTCTCTTGTCAGTGGTTTCCTTCGCATTAACACTGGGCATGGCATATTTCCTCATAAGGTTAGTTATAAGGTGTTTATTTCTATACAAGTAGCATGCTGTACTTCATTGTAAAAAGTTCATTAAAAGTTGTCAGTTCCTTACCACACTATTATTTTTTAAATTTTACTCCTTTAGTGTGTATGTAATTGTGCTGTAGAGTAGTTATCTATGTCTTGATTGTGGAAATTAGATTTTCTATAATGTTTTAATTCATGTAGCAATAAACCCCTATCTAAGTAATCTTTTCAAGATATTTTATTTTGATTTGTAGCCCAAAAAACTGATTTTAATTAAAGTAAGTATTTGTTATCATGTATAAGTTTTATTTTTATTCTTGTTTTTTGCAAGTTTTTTTCTATCCTTCATGAAAGATATTTCTTAATGAATATGAACACTAGATCGCCTTATGCTATCAACAGACTGTGATACCTCTTGGTGGACACATTTGCTTGTCCTCAAGCATAAGGAGTCCAGATGGAGAAGCAGACTCACCTGGGGAATGGTCATCAGTTGGGGATATTCTACAACTGGGCACTGACAGTGGTATAGCTTTTGGACAGCAGATTGGGCGCTCTGTTGTGTCTTACAAAGTCAGCTCTTCTCTCACAACTACTACAGAAATCAGTGTCTCTCCAATTACCAAGGTTAGTAATATTCCAGTCTCTTGTTATGATATATAGATTTAATAATTCTGAAGTATAGTATTCTGTTAATGAAAGATGAAATATATATATATATATATAATATATATATATATATATATATATATATATATATATATATATGTATGTATATATATATATATATATATATATATATATATAATATATATATATATATATATATATATATATATATATATATATATGTATAATATATATATATATATATTATATAATATATATATATGTATATATATATTATATATATAATATATATATATATATATATATACATATATATATATATATAAACTAATGACTTGTATTCCCTTATGTTTTAGATTTCCTTGAGCATTCCTACCCAATCCATAACAACAGGGGAAGAGAGTGAGCCATATCTTGCAATGGTGACCCTAGGAGGAGAAGGAAGTATGTCAGATGAGTCCCAGTGTAAGCCTGCAGAAGGATTCCATGTCAGTCCACCTTTCACGTGCATTGTAGCCTTCTCTCCGCCCATTCCTCAGGTTGATGCAAAGGAAGTTCTGAAAGCTAGTGCAGTTTATATGGCCAAGAAAGGTAAGAGTAAATTTTGATTTTGTCATAATGGCTAGAAGAGTATATATATCATTTTCAGGTCATATTATATTCCAGCACTGTGCTTCCTAAAATTCTTTCACAAATTTACTTGTTTGGTTAGTTGATTTTCTTTGTACACTACACAGTCATTTCTGTTATCCTAATGTTATTTTTATATTGAGGTGAACAAAGGCCTTATCAATTTATTTACATTGTTCTATATTTTTCTTTTAACACTGAAAGGTTCTAATAAGGGGGCTGGCTACACTTCTAGGGGGGAGATCTATTTTAAACATATACGTAAAATCTTCCTATACATCTGCAAATCATCCCAGACCAATGTTTTGCTTTGTTGTGTATGGTGTAAATGTCTATGGTGGCTTAAAGGGACAAGGTCATCTACACTGGAGAGCCATTGCGATTTTGTGTCTTTTATGCCTGCAGAAGATGATTTTACCAAATTTTTTGCATCAAATAGGTTCCCTTTGTTTCTGATTTATTTAGATGTTTTCATACATATAGTATGGGTTGGTGATGAATGTGCAGCTTCTGATGAGTAATTTTTAAAATATAGTACTAGTAGCTGAAATGTTTTACAGATTTATGATTACATTCTCTCTATGATGATGAGTAAGACATACAATAGTAATGGGTTATTGAAAGTATTAAGATGCATACAACCATGTCAAATCTTTAGAAGGCAATTGAATTCATAGAAAATTGAAAATCATTATGATTTACTTGTGATTAACACATGAATGAGAGACAGATGAATAGATATTTTTGATGAGTGAAGGAATTACAAGCAATAGGTGACAAAGTTTCTGAAAACTAGGGTTTCTGATGACCATGCAGAAGCAACAAAATGACATAACATTTGGCGACATTTGGGATATTTTTCAATTCTAATTTCATAGGGCTGTAAAGATATCAGTAGGCTATTCACAGCCAAAAAAGAAAAAGAAAAGGTTTTTCATTTTTAACCCACTTACGACGGGTGTCCAACATATGAGACACCAGGTAAAATAAACATTGCCGGGCGTCCTGCCAGTGTGACACCAGATCAGAGCTCGTGCTCTGATTTTGTCGCCAGCGCATGGGCAGGTTGTCGGACTCGCCTGTGTGCTGATTTTTAAGCTGCCCGGAAAATATTTTTTTCGACTTGAACATGTACCTTCGCTAGTGGGTTAAGGTAGCTATACCTGATGAAGCGACACACTGTGATGTTATGACATCATCATTCTTATTCACATAAAATGTTGGTAACATAAAGTGTATTCATCTGAAACATTTTAAATTTGCACCCCTAATAGTTTTGATTTCAGCTGTGTGTGTCCCCAGCCCTCTTGATTTAACCAGGTAATTTATATAGCTTGTTATTCTTTACAGGATATGCTTGTGAGATTAGCTCTGTGAGCAGCCCCTCTGCACTTCTGGCTAAAGGTCAGGCTTCAGTTATACTAGAAGCTGTAGTGGTTAGTCGAGGGCAGCAGGGTGAAGTGAGGTCAGGCCAGGTAACAATACCATTCTACCCAGCACCATTTGCAGAAGTCTCAGAAGTTACACTTACCAATGAAGTACCTTCTACATCAATCGAGATTCAGGGAACATTTGAAGTTCTCGGTACTCTAGAAGTAAGTAGAAGAGCCAGAAGAATATTGTATTATTTTTTATAAATTGGTTAGAAATGTAATTCTTCAGATAATGTTTAATAATCACATGGAAAAGAGTATTGAAAAATGTTTTACACAATAAAATAGATAAATTAATTAATGATGGGAATTTTTCAAATGATTCTGATTGGAAACCTGTTTAATGATATTTTTGAACATGAAAAGTTGAAATTATATTTGTTTTTATTTCATCAGGTTAAGATAATAGTTATCTTTATCTCTCCAGATCGCAAGCGATGTCAGCCATTTGGATTTGTCTTTAGGTACAGCAGAAAGTAACAAACGACCTCTAATGCTAAGCCTAAGAGACTCTGTGTGGTCTGAGATACCTGAAGAACCTCTCATAGTGGCAATTTCCTCACCATACACCAGAAGTAAAATTGAGGTATGGGATTTGAAAAGCTGTTTATTGCAGTATTGGAGTTACTTGCTTATGAAGTCTGCTATTTTCAAAAATAAGTATTATCAGTACATTTATGGCAGTTACTTGGTGTAAGCTATTTTACTTATTCTTGATCTTGGTTTGCAATGTGCTGGGCAATATGTGGTTGCATAACACTTACATTTAAGGAGAGTAAGAGGGAAGAAGGTAGTAAGAGCTAAGTGACTTTGTATATATATGTGTCTGTGTGCTGTTTCTCAAGTGTTTTTGTACCATATCTATGAAGAAATTTAATGTGGGGTTGTCAATTGTGTGTTGCTAGAGCCTGTTCCAGTCACAGGTGAAGCATGAAAATAAAAAATGCATCGCACATATGATGTGAGTATTTCGGATGTTATATTGGTGTGTATTTCTGTTTGCGGATGTGGGGATGGGTGTTTGAGATTGCGATTTTATGAATAATGTGCAGATGGTATGCTGGTCAGCAGATTTTCAGGCACTGTACAGAGTGAATTGTATTCATGTTGACAAATGTAGAAAAGTTATGAATGGGGATTAATAAATCTTTTGTATTGTGATTATATTTATTCACATTCATACCATTTCTACATACTATAGTGCCATTCTTTTTGTTTGGATAATTGATGATATGAAACATGGCAACCTTAGTGTTCATATGGTGTGGATCCCAAACTGCAGTACAGTTATGAAATAAGTGTTTAGCCTCTTGCTGATGGGCAACTTTCTGTAACACAAGCCCTCACCTCTAGGTGGTATTCATAGTACCCTCGACCCGCACTGGATATTGTTTCTTCTTCTTCTTCTTTGCTATATTATCCCACTGGATCTGGTTGCATTACGAAAATCACAGTGCCGAAAATAAGGGGAGTCGGTTATGTAAGTAGCCAAGATCCTGGGCATGCAGTGTGTAGGCCAGGCATGCGTGAACAACCATGAGCAGTGAGAAGACTCTGTGCCTCCGCTTTGCAAAGTTATTTTGTATAAACTTTTTTAGCCTTTTTGCCATTTTTTAATGTTCATATTTGTCTTTTGATTTGCTTTATCCAGATGGTAATATCTCATTTTCCTTGCACAAACTCCATATCATCTCTCTGTTTAGTAAATAACTCAGTGCAAGAAAAAAAAAGTATGGAACATTTGGTTATTAGTGTCATGTATCTCATTTTTTTTTGTAATTTTCAATTTTCTGTAATACAACATGTGCTGCTGGTCTCATCTGCCAGGAATACAGTGCACAGCATGGAAGTAGCATCCTTCCTGGAGCCAGTGCTCTTCAAGTCACGGCTTATACATGTTACATTCCACAATTATTTTTCGATGGGAATAATGCTAAAGCTCCCTTCTAAGCGCCAAATGAGTCAAATCACACTCCTAGAAGCAAGTCTTTTCTGTCACCCTGGCCTTCACTCATGGCGGCAAGTTGGCATCACTCGACCTACAGCCTTTTTGCCCGATGACAGCATGTTCAAGCCATCCGAATCATAAGGGTTAAGAAAATATTTTGTATTTTTATATAACATATTGTAAAGCCATATTTTCTGATAAATCAAAACAGTAAGATATTTTTTTCATTGCAGACTCCAGAATTCTTTATTAAGCACTTATAAATGTAGGTTTTTGTTTTTTACTTGTTTATTTATTATTTTATTTTATTTCTTTATATATATTTTTTTAAAGATAAACATTAGATTTTACACAAGGTTTATGTTTTTACATTATAAGCACTATATGGATAAAAATTTCTCTGCCCAATGTATAGTTTTATATATTTGTAGTTTTATCATATTTAATTCATATTGTTGGTATATATCGATATTCCTAATATAACATGATAATTATTTTTTTAGGGTCTTGATCATCCATTTTAGTGTATCAAGTGCACTAGACTCTGTAAAGAAGCCTCTTTCCTGCCACTTTCCCTGATCCTTATACTATATCCTTCCTGCCTCTCACATCCTCCTGATACATACAAATACACATGCACATCCACGCATAAACATACACTCAATTGCATGGTGGCTTGTGTATTTCACTAGTCGTGGCCTGATTACCAACATAATTGCAGACACTAATCTCAGAAGCTAGAGAAGAACTTGTGAAATGTAAAGTATAGGAAATTTGTTGGAAAAAGTGTGGTGGGGGGAAGAGGATTGATAAGAGTCTTTCAGGGGCCTTGTAT